GGAGTGGGAGCGGGGGCCGGGGCGGGGGCCGGGGCAGCAGATGTAAGGGGCACACCTGGAGCCAACTCCATCAAGGCCTCAGACAGGTACGAGGCAGGGATTAGGGGAGCTCCAACCTTAATCCTCTCCACCTGGTCTCACAAACAGCCACGCAGGAGGAAGCACAGGCCCCACGGGGATGCTGCCCGAGCCCTTGGACCCCCCCCACCTCCAAACCCGGCCAGTGAACTAAAAGAGACAGCTGACTTTCTTAGAAAAACCTCTAAGAAAAGAGCCCCTCGCTCGGCCTTCTCTCTCTCTCTTCAACTCAGTCTGAAGGTGACTTAAGGGAGAATTGGGGTTTTTGTCAACCTGAGGAGCAGCGGGTGTAAACAGGCCTGGGTACCCACCCAGAGTGGCTTTTTAGCAGTTGCCTGACGGGAGAATCCGTTGAGCTCGGAGCCTCACTTCCTGCGAGCCTGAGTCCACTGTGCTGTGGGTGAGGGGGGCACTTGATGATAGGTCTGGGTTCGAATTCTAACTGCCACTTTCCCCCTTGGGGGCCCAGTTTTCAAGGTTGACCCAAGGCTACCACAAGGGTTAATATGATGGGCTGGACAGGATACACCTCCTCCTGGCCTCAGAAAGTGCTCCATGAATGTCAGCTCCCTCCCTCCACTGGCCCAGGACAGCCAGAACAGCGCCCCCACAGCAGCCTCACCTGGCAAGAGGAAGGTGGTCCTGGTGGCGATGTTGATCTCCTGCAGGTGCTCCAGCGTCTCTGTGTGGAAGAGGCGGATGGAGGAGCCGGAGGAGAAGGCCATCCAGACGCCACTGCCCGCTTTCACCATGTGTGTCACACTCACAGCCTCATCCTGGTGCGCCTCGAAGCTTTGCTGCAGACAGAGTGGGGGGTGTTGGTGCAGGGCTGGGCCTGCCAGCCAAATACCTGGGGGCAAGCTACTCGGGCCTCTGTCTGAACCACTTGAGTCTGGTAAGAAACCCCAGAAGCCCAGCAGTGGCATGTTGGTAATTGTTTAACAGGTAGGGGCATCCTGGTGTGTCGTGTCTACCAATTCCCATGGTGTAAATACTTCCAAAAGGGCCAATGTCAAGCTACCCACATGACATCACTAAACAAGGAGCAGGGAGAAATTCACGCACTGGGCTCCTGGGAGTTGAGAGGACCTGGCTCTAGCATGCCGCCATGACGTGAAAGGAAGAAGTGAAAGTCAATGGGAAGAGGTACCTACACAACTATTGGGAAGGGAGGTGGAAGCTGTGAGCCAGTTCCTCATCTTTTACAGCAGGGGGGCAACACAGAGTGTCCAAAGTTGATAAGTCAGGAACCAGCAGAGCAGACAAGTTAGAGTCATGAAGAAAGTGCGAGATGAATTAAAAACAGAAACAGGTGGAAAGTATTTTCTGCCAGGAAGAAGGGCTGGGGAGGAACCATTCTATGCTATTAGATTTTTTAAATAGGTGTATATATAATTTTGATCTTTAAAAAAAACAAACACTCTTTAAAGAGAGAAGACAAACAGCCAGTGTTCCCATCCACTGCGGAACAAAATCCAAATTCTTGAGCTTAGCATTCAGTCCACCTCTGCCTCGGCTCTTTCCTAGCAGGCTCCCTATGCTCCAGGCCAACCAAAGCCTGTGCCCGAAGGATGCTCAGGACGAACCACACGGCCGCACCTCCGCCCTCACGATGACCTATGTGCTGTGTGCATCACCCACGGCCCTCCTGGAATCAGCTTGTCGGCATCTGAAGACTCCCCTTCAGGGTGATGTCCCTCTTCCATGAGGCACCCCCAGCCACTCTTGCACCGGACTTCCTTCTGCACACCATCCTCCATGTCCAGCCCAGTGACACCCATGTCACCCTAAGGCTCTCCTCAGCGCCTCCCACCCTGGACTACGATCTCCAACAACAGACATTGAGCCTCAGGACCTTCAGTGCTCAGCACAGGCACCAGCACACAGTAAAACCTGGTCAGAGTGATTGTATAGACTCTCGAGCTCCATCTACGACATTCAGTTGTTACTCCCCAGCACAGCAGGCTGGAGACAACCTAAGTGCCTAGCCATCGGGACACTCTGACATCCACTCGGTGGGCTGTTCCACATCCATTCCAAATTGTTTACAGACAGAGACTGTGCAGAGCACAGGAAAATGTGAATGGTACAGCAGGAAGTAAAAAAACAAAAAAAAAAACTTGGGGAGGAAGGTGTGCAGGGGAGGAGAAACCTGGACACTGAGGACTAGCTCAGGGGCAGCACCTGGGGAGGGTCCCCCTTTCCATTTCATCTATAACACAGAGGACAGAGACCCGACACTGCAGGAAGATGCTGGACAGAACACGTATTTGATATCAGACCTGTGATTAAATCTCATTTCCTCAGTAACTTCGCGGGCCTGGGCCTCGGTTTCCCATTTGTAAGCAGAAGTTGTCATGAGGATTACAGGGACCTGAGTGAGGGGGAGCTCGGCACAGGCCCAGTTCCTAAGATGGTCTCGTTCATTCGGCAGATGTTCTTGAGCTCCTACTGTGTGCCTGGCATGGGTCTAGGTGCTGGAAAGGTAATGATGAAAGAGAAAACTAAAGGAGTTCACTCTTAGGAAGTGTGTGTTCCCAGTGTACAACCACTGAAACAAATAAACAGATAAAGATTACCCCAAATAAGGATAACCACTGCACAGAAAAAATGCTGGGAACCATTAAGATTGGGTGGCCAGGGCAGATCTCTCTAGGAGGTAGCATTTAAGCAGAGACATAAAAAATGTGAAGGAATCAGCCCTGGGATAATAGGGTGGGGGAGGGGGAGAGCATTCCAGGCAGAGGGCACAGCAGGTGCAAAGGCCCTGGGGCAGGAATGAGCTTGCAGTGTTTGATAAGTAGAAAGGTGGTCCAGGTGGGGAGCGCGGTGGTAAGACACAGGTGGGAGAGGTGGGCAGGGGCCAGACCACACCAGGCCACCTTTGAATCCACAGTGAAGAGTTTGCTTGTATTAAGTGCTGGGGGAGGCCGAGCTGGTGAGCGACATGATCAGGTTCACCTTTGAAAGGAGCTCAGATCATCGGCTGTGCATGGCAGGAGGCTGGAATTCTGGGCCTCTCCTGAGTTTGGTGAACAGGAGGTGGAAGTAACTTGACTCGATTTGTTGTCCTGCAGAGTCACTCTGGCCAGGGCCTCAACCCCAACTCCATCCCAACTCAGCTCACCAAGAGGTTTCCCATAGAGATAAAGAAGCTGGTGGGGGACGGGGGGTCCTCCACGGGGGAGCCAAGCCAATCAACTCTAAGCTCATTCCTGATCTCATTCCTGATCCGAATGCAGGACCCAGAAGGGCATGACTTTGAGACGGCCAACAAAATTGCTTTTGCTAAACTAGTCCCTAAATGGCTGAGCTCTGCGGCCCAGCGGAGGAGTGGGGAGAGAGGCACGAGGCCTGGGGGAACAGGAAAGCCAAGGATCCCCAGAGGAGGGGCGGGAAGAGGCGGAAAGATGTCCTGATCTCGGGGCAGGGTTCTACCGCTCGCCCCTCACTGGGGGACCCCGAGAGCGGCAGCTATAGCTCCCTCTCAGACAGGAAGTTCACCAACAGCAGGGACACATGTCTCCATCAAAGTGGGGGCTCCCCAGGTGCAAGGAAGGGCTCTTACATCAGCCTGGGCACACTCAGAGGGCAGGGAGCTATTTCCTCCCTCAGACTGGGGGCTCATACTAGGGGCTCCTGGGGGGAGTCTCTGTCCCTCTTTCCTCAGCACCCCACCCCCACCCATGAAGGCCCAGGTGCTGGAGGCTCAGCTAGGGAGCTTCTGGAATTTGGGGGGAGGCTGAACTCCTAACAACCTCCACAAAGCCAGGCCCAGTCCGTGCAGTGTTGGGGGGCTGAATTTCCATTTCTCTGGCCTTTCACCCCAAATATGCTGCCCACAGCCCTGGCAACACTGGCCTCTAGGTCTCTTTTCCTTTTTTTTTCAACTTCTTTATTGAATTTATTGGGGTGACATTGGTTAATAAAATTATGTAGGTTTCAAGTGCACAATTCTATAACACATCACCTGTATATTGCATTGTGTGTTCACCACCCCAAGTCAAGTCTCCTTCCATCACCACTTGTCCCCCCCTTACCCTCTCCT